ATAAATGAGGTAAGTTATCAATATATGATTATTTCTCCAAAGAAATTTAAAGTACAAGCTGCAAGTCTATTTCTAAAATATCTTCGATGTTGTCTTATTAATATATTTTCATAATGTTCATTTTTCAATTTTTTCAATAAATTTGGCCAAGGATCAGTATCCATAAAAGGAGTATTTAATGTAGATTGAGCTTTTTTATATGTAGGTTGGGCTAAAATATGCTTATTAATATAAATTTTTTTACCAGTATCATCTCTAATACTTTCAAGTGTTTAGCTATTTGGTCTAAATCATCTTTTTCTTTTTAAACAACCAATTTAATCTATTCTCATCATTTTTCCTATGTTTTATAGCATCTTCAATCTTATTATTTGCGATGGTTTGTTTATGAAAAATCCAATTCCCAAGTTCTTCGTCTGGAATTTAAAGGCATTCATAAAGAGTTGAAATTAATTCAAAACTCCAATATACACGCTTTTTAATGTTACGTGATGTAACTAAATATTCATAAGGTAAAATCAGCGATAAATCAACCGCATCCCTTGGCCACACGGGAATAGTAATGCTCTAAGTAAATAGAATTTGATTGGACGGTTTTTTTGTTTGTTAACAAGTTAACATTAAACATGGCAGGGAGCTATAGTCATAGTATAATTAGAACTGTAATAATTCTGACTTTTTTTTTAATTAAGTTGGTTTATACTACCATACAGTATCATAATTATTATGATAAATAGTTTTTAAGATTTAAAGAGAATTTCTAAATTTTAACTGGTGGAAAAATTACTGGTAGATCATGTGATTGTGTATTAAATATTCATGTGATTTATTATGATGATGCAATTTCATTTGGCTCGCTTCGCTCGCCGGGCTTTTCTAGCCAAACCATAACTTTCACTTTATTTGCAAAATTTTTGATTATATTTAACATATCTATAAAAAAAAATGAGAAATTACTCTTAACTAGCTATTAACATAATTTTTTTCTCATTTGGTAAAGGATGATCATTTTCGGTTTATTTTGCTTGTTAATCATTTTTGGCTTAGTTATTTCACTTGTTAATCATTTTAAGGTTAATTATCTTGATTGTTGTTTATTTTTTGGTTTAAAAATAAAAAAATATATATATC